AACCAAACCTTATCCTATTAAGTGGGGTTGGCTACATGGATCAACTTCTTCCATAATGTTCTATCCAGGACCATGCTTCTATTCAAATCGCTAATCGCGAGATCTTTCTTAATAATTTCTCTTCTAGTTTTTCTAGGCTTTCATCTACCTCTAGCTGTTTGACATCTCTCAATTTGATCTACTCTCCTTACCATAATATTTGTAGGTCTTCTCTCTACGTACTTAAACCACCTAAGTCTATTTTTTAAAAGGGGATGTTAGAATACATATAAAAGTATATTGCCATATAAAAAACTTTCAGACCAGACTATAATTTATGAATTTGTAGTAAATGGCATTGGTGATGCCTACTGATTGTCTTTAACATTTGATAATGTTTCTCTTAAAAATCGTGGTTGAACCTAACTCAACCTTTCAAAACCGGCTTGTAAGATGAGGATTGCTTTCTACTTATAAACAAATGCTCAGGCCATATATTGTCTGATGTGAGATTCTTAACACACCCTCTCACGCCTATAGCGTGAATATAAACGGTGGATGACCTGATAGGGAAAACTTGATAGCAAGTGGCCCAATGAATTTTAAACTAGACTTTGATATCATCTTAAGAACTTGTGGGACTTAATAGTTTTTATATCTGTTCGGTGGTTAGTTTTGAGTAAAATGCTATTAAGAGCGAAAGCAAGTAAAGTAAGTGAGGTAGAATGAATGAATGGATACATGACCCTCTTGAGTGAGAGGGTTTATATAGCCCTCAACAATGAGCCAAGGTATTTAGTGATGAGCCATGATGATTCCCTATAATGAAGACTGCCAGGATTTACGGGTGTATGAAGTCCAACACGTGGCCTCCTCCCTGGTCAACTACCTCGAGAATGTAGGGAAGTTGGACCCGTTATTCTCGAAGGGCATGATGATGACGTGCTGGACACGTGGGTCCTAATCTTCTGGTGGACATGTAGGGAAATTCCCAACCGTCCTCAGTTTTTGGGTTTCATGCTTTTGGGCCTCCCCAACGGTGGGGCAAATGTCGGCCCAGTCCAGAACTATATATATATATATATATATATATATATATATATATATATATATATATATATGTGTGTGTGTGTGTGTGTGTTGATTTAATGAATATTTTAAACACCACTTAACTAAGTTTATGATGACTCTCTACTTATGTTATGTAGCTTTTATCCATTACATCCATTTTTATAAAATTAAAATTATAATATTGAAATCCAGGTCGGGTTGGCCCGTCGGATAACACGGGCCTTTGAAAAACGGGGCAGACTCATTTTTTGTAGCCCATTAAGAAATTGAGTTGGGCCAGCCCATTTAAACATTTTGGCCACCGGACCGAAGTGGGCTAGGCCTACCCATTTGACAGCTCTAGAGGTCGTGCTTAGGACATGTATTCAGGCTATTGTTTGTAATCAAATCTATACATTTTTTTTTTAGTTTCACGACCCCTATTTTTTTTTTCATCTCGTCTCCTTTCGGTCTTTTATTTTTATTTTTTGTTTTCATGTTGTTTATTTTTTAAGAATTAGACGTACACTTGTGTGATGGACGAATAAGTTTTATAAAATTATTATTTATAATTATTGTAATTTAAATAAATATTTTTAATACATAATTATTGTTGTGTTGTGGAATTTGAAATAGAGAAGATTGTGGAAACTATGACATATTGAAGTTTCATATGCAATTGAGTGATTCGACATCTTGGGTCAGAGGTTGCAATTGTGATGTCTCTTGAATCAAAGATGTTAATCTTGAATTGACATTGATAATCTTTGGTACAGTGGACTATAGAGGGTACCTGCATAGTTAGCACTCCAATGCCCAACTCAATTTAGGGTTTAGGATAATCATGTTGAAATGATCACAGTTTATAAGACTGCTTGAGGTTTTTCTGGTTCTCCTTGCAACTCTCTCGGGGTTTCAAGGACAATAATCTCACCAGATTCACCCCCATTAATCAAAGGGTCTTGAGTTGGAACCTTTGGAATGTCAAAGCCATGTTCACCCATGTTACATGAAGTAATAAAGGTAGATTCTTCATCCCTATCAATAGCTCCTTGGGCACGAAAATATTTTGGTCCCAAGGTTGACAGTCTTAACCGATGTTTCTTCATTTAGATGCTTGGTTAGAGTGGAAAGCTCTTTGAAAAGATCAACAATGTCACGCTCTTTAAGAAAGTTCTTCCATATTTTCCTTCCTTTGACACTCGGGTGAGAACTTTTAATTCTAACTTTTAATTATCCAACCTAGTTTGCTTGATAGCCAACTTATTTCTTTGTTTCCTTTCTTTCTCATTCGCTATATTCCTGACAATCCTTTATCTCTTTCCTTTGACAGCGATATCTTTGCTCTAATCTTCTTCACTTACAATGTGTCCCATGTCAACTTCAATGTTGTCATACTTATAATCCTCAACAATAATTTCTTGGTTCATCTCCTCCAATAACATGGTGAACTGAGATCTACTAGTGATCTTTTTTGCTTTGCCTTTTCCAACTGTAGAATTATGATTCACGCTATTTTTTCCAGTCTGATGTTTAATGTCTATATACCCTAATTTAAGCTTCCTTGTTCCTTTGGGTTTTTTAACAACAGTCCATGGTCCATTGACATCAACTTGAACAAGCTTGTTGGAAGTATCATGCTCTCCCATGTTGCCACCATCCCTGGTTATATGCTTTATACCCACTTGAATGTTTTCCTTATAACTGACAATATTATGACCAAACTTATCACAAGAAAGGCACAACTGATGCAATCCTTCGTACTCAACTTTGTAGTGCTTGCCTCTGATGGAAAACATGGCAAGCAAAGGTTTGGACAAATCAACCTGGACACACAACCGTGCATATTTTCCATGTTCCATGCTAAACGTATTTTTACCCACTTTACATGTTTGCCCGATACGATCACCGATGGAGGTTAACACTCTATTATCGTATTATTCAATAGGTAATATGGAAATACTTACCTATACTATAAGATTAACAATGGAGTTGTTAGGGAATAAATTCGTGCACTAAAGCCTCACCGGTAAATAATGGTAAAAAATGAACCACAGTCCATCCGATATAGCAATCTTTTGATCTTCTTCGTTGTTGAATATGACCAAGTAATACTCTTGCCCTAAGCCAACAATGTTAAGAATTCCATGTTTGGCCTACCAGGTGTTCAATCTATATTCCAATGCTTTAGATCCAAATCTGCGACCAAGTAATTTAACGATCACACCTTTACTCAAAGGTTTCGTAATTCGCTTCTCTTCCATTTTAGATAAAAAAACTCAGGGCATTCATACTCCCCATATTTTCGTTCTTCAATCTTTATGCCTTCTTGATCTTCACAATCCGATTCTGGTAATTCTTCTAGTGATAACCTTCTTGAAGGATAATGCATTGGAGTAGAAAGGCTTATCCAGTTGCGACAGAGTTGAGTGTGTGGCTTCGAACAAGGGTATGACTCCATCATCATCATCCACTCTATTCTTAACTTTCTTGGAGCTTTGCTCACGCAAATCTCCGTTATCTTTCATTTGTTCTTGGTTTGCAGGCACAAACCCTAAAGTGGAGGGAAACATGCAATCCTTATAGGATCTTTAAACAACAGTGACCAAACTGATTTGTCCATTATCCTAAGATAAGGAGTTTAAACCATCTCATTGAAAATAACCACCGTTAAAAGCTGGTGATTAGTCCATTATCCTAAGATAAGGAGTTTAAACCATCTCATCGGAAGTAACCATCGTTAAAAGCTGATGAGATTATCATCAAATTTGGTCAAGAGACTAGAAGTCGTCGTGTCGAAAATTGCCTCATCGTGCCAATAATCACATCCTTCGTGCCAAAAATCATAATTATATAGATATTCTAGTAAAACAATTACTTGAGTTAACAACAATAATTAGTTATCTTCAACATTCTATCATTGATGGTATGCAATTCTCCATAATATTATTTATACTTTTACTTAAAAATAAATTAGAGCTAGCTAAATTACTAAATATAAATTTTATTTCACCATTGTTATCTATTCTTGAATTTTAAAGTAGACCTAGCTAAATATAAATTTTATTTTCACTGTTGTTATCTATCTTTGAATTTTGCCCTTGCTCTCCACTTATCTTTTTTATCATATACTTCCTCCGTCCTAAAATAAGTGTCGCATTTATAAAAAAAATTGTTATAAAAAAATATCGCTTTTAGTTTCCAATACAATTTTAATTTTTATCATCTAATTACATTCTCTAATTATTCTTCTTAATTTACTATTTCTCTCACCTTACATTAATGATAATTTGAATACATCAATAACTAATCAGGATAGTTTGATAAAATTGTTATTATGTGTTTCATTTATCACATTTTCTTAATATGTGCTAAAGTGTAAGTATGACAAATATTTTAAAACGGAAGAATTACTCCATTTTCTTGGAAAAAAAACAAGAAAAGCTGGAAAATATGCGATATATACTTAAGAAGCTGCATCAATAAACACTTAACAACATAACCATCTCTATATCACACATGATTAACCTTAGGAAAAGTTAAATTTTTAGACATGGGAGGAGGAAAAAACCCAAAATAAGACCTACTAAAACCGCATATAAGTCAGGGATGAGTCAATTTGTTAGCAAACACTTAAGGTATATTTGGATTGACACTGGACAAAATTGATTCTTGCAAGATTGAGTTTAGTATAATTGATTTTAATATAATTGAGTTTATCAGAATTGATTTATGTTTTGATACATTTATGTAAAAGTGAATTGAACAATAAATTTCAGTGTAAAAATCACCCAGAATCTATTCTGGATGCCGAAGCTACACATTCTATCTTCAAGTAGAATCAATTCTGGAGACAGAATCAATTCTATTTTGGAGCTTAAAGAAGTCAATCCAAACATGTACTTAACAACTGAAATATTTACTGGGAGCTCAGCACATAACATCAATTGAGGAGACACATCCTTTGCATTTTATTTCCTAACCTGCAACACATACGAGACATCAGAATCTACAATTACAATTAAATGATGAATGCACACATAATAAGCCTGCGCACCTAAAGCACCGCATAATAGGGACACAATAACAAGTCAATATAAAACCTCCAAAAGAATTCAAGCAGGAGCAGTTGATTAGGTTGGAGGATTGTTACCGTTCTTATAGCATTTCTAGTTTTCGCCACTCAAAATCCTTCTAATCCATCATCTATAAATGCAGAATTCAGAAGGGCATAATTTTAGATGATAAAGTGCCTCCCCATTAGATAATACCTCCCTTTACACACCACTATCAGACTACTGGCACTGCACTACAGCCATTTGCCATTTTTCAGTGTTTTTAGTTGTGCTCTCCCTAACATTGGTTAGTTAATGAAAGCGAGAGGAGGTCCCTATTGCAGTAGCATAGCTCCCAGGGGCTTCTTGAAACATCAGTTTCAAACAATAAAAGTCATGATCAAACCTAGGACTCCTAAGACAGATAGTGAAGTTATAGCTTTGATGCTTGGAAAACGGGTTTGGTTTGTTTAGACCATTAGAAGTTATCTCCTCCAGCATTTCAGTAAGCGGTTTGGTAATTAGTTGCTGCCATAAAAAACACGGCAAAGGAATTCCATAGCCCTTGTCTCTCCCCATTAGTACTTTTAAAAAGCTCCGTTTCCTTCTTTATCCTCTCATATACATTCACATTCTATTGCTTCAGCTACCTACAGACTACAGCTGATAACTCCTATTGAGTTAGCTATTAACTTCCCGGACCCGTTTGCCGATTTACTCTCCACTCTTCCTAAAATATGCCCTCTTCACAACAGAATGCTTATTGAAGTACAATAGACAGCACTGCAAATGAAAAATATCTACATCCCATGGCAGTGATTTTAACCTTTTACCTCGGTATCAAAACAGAGAATAAAATTTAGCAAATACAACATAAGATAATCCATACCTTCAAACGTGGAGACTTGCGAACAGAAGAAGCAGAATCAGGAGATAAAAGTGCTAAACTTTTCCTTCTGCGATTGTTTTTTTTCTTTAATTGTGCACTACCATCAGAGAGTTCCACTTGTTGATCATTTTCTGTGGTTGTAGAATCACCTCTAATGGATGTACCGGGAGCAGATGAAGTGATAAAGGCAGATTCACCAGGTTCAACTGTTGTTAGAACCAAGCTCCCTGTTTAATAAAAATTAAAGAAAGTAACATTCATTATAAACATCATATTTATCCATTTTCCAAAAGCAAACCAGGTTATCCATTCTAGTACCATGAATGAATGATTCATACCTTGCACCGATGTTTCTTGAAATTTTTTCCGCATTGCTTTTACAAACTTAAACAGACCATCTGTCTTGTTTAATTCATCGACCAACTCTTCAATACTTTCAAGGGGAGGTTCGCAACTTAACACTGAAAGATAAAAGACATAGTTAGGTTTCAAGAGGTGTATCAGCATACTCTGAAAATTGCATACAAAATCACATATGTTTGATGCTTACATGAGTAAGTATTCTTATCATGTAAGACGACAAAAGTATACTCTTCGTTTGGATTCTTCAAATTTATATTCTTGAATGTGAACTTTACCCCTGGAGAAAAGAACTAATAAGGATAACAATTATGAAAAAGAACAAAAAGAAACCTTAATAAAAAATTTATTTGTCAATTACCACGTCCTCCTTTGACATGAAAACCAAGTACTCTGTTATACCAAGAGATGGCTTCCCGTGTTTCATTTGTATGCTCAATGCTCTCATTTAACTTCCCCTCAAAAGCTTCCAAAGCTTCATATAAATGAAAAGAGAAGAGATGGAAGGTGAGAGGATAGCTTATAATAGTACATAACATTTTTCCTAATGCAGCAACTTAAAGTTTAGTAAGTAGGACAAATCAAAGAGACAAAAAAAAAAAAAAAACATAGTTCCAATTCATGTTCTGTAAGAAGCAATTAATGAAGAACATTCGAGTAATTACCAAAAGACTGTTGAGATAGAATTGCGGTATACTCTTGTTTCCTGGCACGAACCTCCTGAATACTTGTGTTGAGGATTCCAACTCCGGCCTTCGCAGTCGCAATAGCATTCATCAAAGCCATTTTCTTGGCCTCCTTGCGTGTCTTTTCTACACATAAAAAACAAAAGCACACCAATTTTCCATCATTTAAAACACATTAAAGCTAAAAACAAAAACCCTAAAACGAAAACAGTAAAGTTGAAGTAACCTGCGAGTACTTGAACCAATTCATCCTCCACTTCCTTCAGTTTGCATTTAACATCTTGTAGTTGACCTGAGAGACAAAACGAGAGAGTGAAAATGAAAACCCTAAAACGAAAATAGTGAAGTGAAAGGTGAAGTATAAACGCTAAAGAATGTATGTGAATGGAAGAGAAGTGGAGAATAAAGACGTTGATTTTGAGAAGTTTGTTGCGATTTGGACGTGATGAATTGGAATAAACCCTCCGATAGAGAATCAGTGCCAAAATCGATTATCTGCATATTCTGAGTGATATCAGAGTCGAAGTTTGAAGTTGAGGATTCCATCTTTGATGGCGAGAACACGAGCGAACGAGATTTGGGTTAAGGTAAAACACAAGGAAGATGGAACAAATGCTTTTGGTTTGGAAGAAAGCGCTTAAGTTAAGAAGAAGCTACTTTGAAATTAAATTTGGGTCAATAATTATTTTATTCCTCCCAGACGAGTTTTGCAAAAACCCTATAAAAAAAAAGTGTAAATTTTCCCTCTAATATTTCATCGTTTTGACCACTGTCACAAGAATCTTGATAATTTTTTTTAAATTATTTTTAATGGTATAGATGATTTGTTGATATTTATTTTTATTTTTTATTTTTTTAATTCCATTTTAATAATGTGGATGGTTTGTTGACATTTATTTTTATTTTTTATTTTTATTTTTTAATTTTAAGTGGTATTTTAAATTATTATTTTGGTGTTAGTAGTTAAAATTCAAAGCCTCAGAAAAATGGGTGTTTATTATATTTGACGTGGCATTTATTTTTAATAGAGATTCAATTTATTTCATTATCATTCAAGACATATAACAAGGAAACTCTCGTGAGAATGACACACATCAGAGTTAAGTCACTTGCTTATGTTAAACCTTCAAAATTAATCCAACTTTTTCTACGGATAACATTTGGAAGTCGTTTCAATAGTCCACCATATATAAATTTGGTTATGTGTCAAAAATGTAGAAATTTCATTCACTCCTCTAAGTTACACCTCTCAAATCTTGTTGACTTGAGCGTTAAAGTGTTAACCATATATGTAAACTCTCACTCTTCTGTAGCAAAGACTTACACCATTGTATTAGAGAACTTCTACGGCAACTTTTGTCAACACACTACCAATATTTTGTTCCATACCAAAATAACGACGTCGTTTATGGTATGGTTCTATGTGTTGTGCATGTAATGTCTTCTAATAATTTTAATAATGACAATTGAAGAAGAAATAATATATCTAAAGTCTCATCAGTAAAGAAGCAAGCACAAGATAATGTATATGAAATTTCAGTTGAATGTGTTAAACAACATTTAAATTAAGTACTAGACAAAATTTAATAAACTAAAAGAACTTGAAGTTATTAAGTTGTGGAAGCTCGCTAGAATTTTATCTTGTTTACAGTCAGTTAATTATAAATGAAGCAAGAGTATGTCTTAAGGTACTAAAGCAATACACACAAAAAAAAGTATTTCAAACCTCTTTTTCTTATAAAACTTCTTAAAACTAATCTGGACAAGTGCTTAAATGACTAAGAAACTTGTTGATTAATTAGGAAGGTAAAATACATCGATTAATCGAGTAAGTCTTTCTTATAATCAATTAAAACAATGTATAATGTCTCCCGCTTAATCAATGAGACTTTTAACCGGTTGAGTGACGTCTAAATTCAAAAGCAAATTGGCTTAAGCTAGTCAATTAAGACATATATTTAATCGGTTAAAAGGTTAAAATCTCATAGAGTGTTGCCTTTTTCAGCCATATTTTTTTCTATGTAAAAAAGGTTTTTTCTTACTTCTCAACATACTTGTTTTCTGAATATAACTCCTCTCATATCTTTCTACTACTCATTCTTTTATAAAGTTCTTTTTCACTAGAGTTTCTTTATTGTCGAGAGAGTGAAAATTTTCATCTAAGAGTTGCGTTGGTGTTGTGTTGTAATTGTTTATTCAAGAGTGTAGTTCTTTTGTGATCTTTTTGTAATAGATTTGAAGGTTGCAAGTTAAGTCTGTAAAAAATTTGGTTTAAGGTTGTTGAGATGATCATTAAATATATGGTTAAATATGTTTGTGGTCCTTATAAATATCCCAATATTCGTTTCTAGTCCCTCTAAAATCTTCTTTCAAACAAAGGTCCTCATAAAGTTTTTCATCCACAATATTGGTCCTTCCCGTCAGTTTTCATTAACAGAAGGTGACGTGGCATGCCATGTGGGAAGACAGCTTGGCGAAAATTTGAAAACACTAGAAACTGCGAAGGTTTTAAACCTCCTCTAAACAAACCCAGGAAAAAGAAGAAATATTTTGGTTCTAAACTTTTATCAAAAACCTTGTGAGCAAGCTTTGCAACAACAATTATAACGCATAAATTCATCAAAGGCAACCAACAACAACAATCAGTAAAAGAATGAAATTGAAAAGTTAGTGATTGCTACGCTTAACTTGCTACAGTTTTATCATTTGTATAAGTTTCAATTTTCATCTAACGAAAGATATGAAAATATTAATTGTTAATAACAAGGATTGTTTTTCTAGTTTACTGGAATTTGCTTCTAACTAAGATATTGAAGATTGGTGAATTTATGAGGAATTTGCTTCTAATGATGGTGTATTGCTACTTGGTTATTTCGAGATAACTCATTTCAACAAATCAAAAGACAAGTTGTTGGACATCATGACAATGTGAAAGAAGGTGAAGCGGAAATAGAAATTATATAAAAGATAGAAGATCATGAGTTGTTACACGAATTCCTTTCGTTAATTAAGCAAGCAAAAAAACACGAAGTTGTTGAAAAACTGCAAGACACTATCTTTTTTTTGTGTTCGGATGTCAAAGAAGGGGCCAAGAAGCAAACTAGGTTTAAAGAAACTTTTGGTGTTGAACTAGGGAGCGATGATCGCTTAGCATCAACTTTAACATTTGTGATACGGTGAGAGAACTAACTTGGGTGTTTTGCATTTTATCGCAAATGTTACGGTTAGTAAGAGTCGCCATCGACTTTTCTTTTATCCAAAAGGAAAGATAAAAAAGCACAGGAAAGACCTTTGAGATTATTTGTTGAGTTCGGGGGGTAGATTATGAAAAGGGAAGGTATTAGCACCCTTTTCATCCATAGTTTTACATGGGCTCTTAGTTACTTGCTAGATCACTTTCTTTTGTCTAAAATTGTGTTTTGTGTGGTTTTGAAAGTATTTTTGAAAAGAGGCTATTGTTTAGGCAAACTTTGTAATGATTCTCGTTCGTAAGAATGTATACAAAGTGTTTGATCTTTTGAAAATATTTTCATGTTTTGAAAGTGTTGGTGTTTGTTTTGAAAATAGCAAGGATGTTTTTATTTTAAAATGAAGCAAGTAACTAGAGCATTCTACCTACTCAAAAAGTCTTTCATGTTCATTTCCTTTTTCTTTTGACATTGTTATCTTACCATTGATTTGGTAAGTAACCCTATCTTTGGATGTATAAGGGACGGGCGTGGGTCATCGTATAACCATGATTAGCAATGTTGCAAGGTATCTTAGCATTTTTCTTTAGGGACTAAGATCATTTTGGGAAGGCAACTTTTGATAGCGTCATCGAGGGACTATGATCTTGTATTTTACTTGTCTTTGCTAAGATACTTCACATGCGTAATATGGTCATTTTTGTAAGGCAACCAAGTGGATTTACCCTAGGGGTGCTTGTGTGCAAGTGTGTTGATTTTCATGCTTGATTTATCTTTGATTAGGGTTTGCTAATTGATTGGTTTTAGTCTTTCCATACAAAACCCTAATTACTAGCATTTGTATATAAAGCGATAAATTGCGGAATTTAAAATTACTACGCTATTACAATACTTATGGGAGGGGGGTGTACAAATTACAAATGGGGATTTTGCAAGAAAATTAAACCTAAATAATCTATTACAACCATATTGAACATGTACAAATAATTGAATAAATAGTAATATATAAATACAAGAATATATGAAAAAAATGTGATTTTTGTTTGTTTTTCATAAAAAAGGGTTTAACCTAAACTTAATTAAGAAAAATGATTAGTTAAAATTAAAATAAAATTAACTTAAACTAATTGAGAAAAGAAATTAAATTAAAAAGAGTTTTAGGGTTTTTATGAAGAAAAAGGGTTTTAAGTTAAACAATAATAAAAATGAAAATTAAATAATTAAAAGAAACCTAAATTCTAAGTTATTTTAATTAATAAAATAATTATTAAAACTAAGTCTAAATATTTAATTAAAAAAGAAATTAATTTATTAAAGAAAATGCTTTTAGTCCTTTTGGTTTTTTTATAAGAAAATAAAATAAATAAGTATTAATAATAAATAAAATATTTTTGGATTTTTTCATTAATAAAAATAATAATAATAATAATAATAATAATAATAATAATAATAATAATAATAATAAAAATATTAAAGAAGAAAAAAAATAAAAAATAAGAAAAATAAAATAATAAAAGAAATTGGGCCAGGTGTGTGGAAGTAATAACAGGGGTTAGCAAAAGCAAAAAAACAAAGCCCAATTATTGGAAGCCCAAGCACTGCAAAACACAAAAAAATGTCAAAAAAAGTGGGGGGAAATTGCAAAAGGTCACACTGGGACTTGAACCCAGTACCTAAGGGTGACAGGCGCGCGCTTTAACCACTGGGGTGGTGATACATATGTTAACTTGTATGAAATGATAAATACATAACATAAAACGCGTCCTGACTGTACTTCATCTTCAACCTCCAGCCAAAGGATCTGTAACTTGCTCATTTCTCAACCATTTGTAAAAATGTAAACATGAAAATTGCTCCATTTTTCCACACGAATCCAACCATATAAATATCATAAGCTATAAATCAAAGATGAATGAGAATTTCTAAAAGTACCAAATTCTGACCTAAATATTTCAGAAAGTTCAAACTCAAAATTCTCCTAGCTCAATCAAAATAAATGAAATCTATGGACATGTATAATTTCAGGGCAATGATGTCTACATTTTATCTTCATAAATGCAAGCCTAACAATGCCTAAATATGAAGATAGAAGTTCAAGAAAAATACCTCAAAACTGGAAATTATGAAATGGATTTGAGCTTGTTTCAGGCAATGGTGATGATCAGGCTAGCTTCCCCAAGTCCCCAGGAAGCTAATGAAATGATTAGCTTGAGCAATGGATGGCTAGAATGGTCTGGAGAAGTCAAGTTGCAGACCTCTATTTTTGGTTATGGAAGATGATGAAGATGGAGTTATAGTTTCAAACCAAGGACATGGATGGACTATATTTGATGTAAGGAAGTTTAGAAATGAATTTGA